GAATTTTCGATGGAGCATCTTTATCCCATTAAGGTTATGGAGTGGCAGTGGAGAGCTACACAAAGCTCGTTTTACGCGGTGTTCTGCGTAGGAAACGAATCGGCCAGATGAACGCGCCAGACTCCCGTTCGACCGTCGTCGTCGAATCGAGTGAATGAAAAGTGGTATGCCTATTTTCAGCCTGTTTCGTGGAAACTCTCTCGACGACTGTTACACACCAGAGAGCAGCGATTAGGCTCTGTGCACACGATGCACTTGTTCCCTAGAGTACGCGAGAGGTTGGCGTGAATCATCCACGGTGAGACGACGAAATCCGTTTTCTTTCATCGAGTATGACGTCGTCGACCTCGACCAGCAGCCATTCGAGAGAAATTTCTCGAGAAGAATGTACTTTTTTGCGACTACGACCTTTTTCCATCGTTTTTCCATCCTCGACACGTAACTCTTTCCTCGGAAGGAGGCCTGCTGCCTTGCAGTTTCTTCGACTGATGCAAGAGATCGATTCTTTTTTCTTTTTTCTTTCTTTCTTTCTTTCTTTCTTTCGATGGATCTGCTAACTCATCCCAGAGAATTTCTTTCGGAGGCGAAAATTTGTGGAATCGATGAAGAAACCGATTGTTCACGATTTCGTGTCGAGGAATTTTAATTTTAAGAGAGGTTCGCGGAAAGGGCAAATGGTGAATCAGAATGGCTAATAAGGAAGAAATTCGTTTATGAAGGAAGAAAATTTTTATTCGCTCTTCGTTGAAAGAATTCTCATTGTTTAAACTGTGTTGTATAGTAGCGAATTCTTTCATTGTTCGAACGAGATATCACAGACTGTGTGAAGAATCGATAACGATTTCTAAATTGTGAGAAATTATTTTACGAACGATGCTAATAATACATATATTTATGAACGAAATTCGAATGTTTTTCTTACACGAGTTTAACTCGATAAAGCAATGCTTGGTAACATTAACATACTAGAAACATATATCACAGGACTCGTGCAATATAAACTGTATACACTATGAACACACGTGCTCGTGGAAATTTCCAGACGAAGTGAAACAACGATCGCGCAAGGATCTATGGATAATTGCGATGGAGAAGAATCGATCGATCGATCTTTGGATTCTTTGTCGCAGACAAAGATCGACGAAGAACGAGTTTTTGATTTTCGTTTCGAGGATAAATTCGATTCGAATTTTCCTTTTCAATTCACGTTGCTTTAAATATATATTGTTACTTAAAATTTTCTTTCAAACGTGAATCACGATCTCGATTTTTCATTTACACGCTCGTATGTACGATTTCGAAATTAATTATTATAGGATTGCTACATTCCATGATTCAACAGCACAACTGTGTTTCGACACCGACATTGTTGTTCCTGCTTTTGTCGAATACTTTATTGCACAATTCGGAACTCGTTATATCGTAGATAAAAATAAACATATTAACGAGACGGATAATTTAAATTGATTTCAGGGTTATTGTTTATACACGTACGTGCAACTACAATAATGTTTATCCTCAAAGTACGAGCGTGCACGTGATTAAAGACTGTAAATTACCATAATAAGCCATTTAACTCTAGCCGGCTTACGGTTTTTATTCTCTTTAATGTAAACCGAGAACATTTCGATCGATTACATTGATTGAAAACTCGTCGTCCTCGATACGATAATACACTTTCAGCACGTTAATTTAATCGTCCTCTAAATTATTGTAATTAACCGTTTCGATTAATATTCCGTTCCGAGCCTTTTCCTTCCTCTTCTTCTTTTATCTTGTACAAAAATTTTGACAATCTAACGGAGATGAAAAAAAAAAAA